ACTAAGACTGGTGTCCACTAAAACAACCTATAGAATTAAAAAGGAGAGAACAACCCAACCTGGAAAGCAGGATACACTGCAGACTCACAGAATGGCAGATACCCTTAATAGCACTCTGGCCTCAGATTCAGCCCTTAAGGCATTCGGATCTCGCTAAAAAGTCCATGAGAGTTTTGCAGGCATGGAAAGCCAAGACTCACAAAAAATGGCCTAAATGAAAGATCTTTGTGAATGAGATCCCAGTGGAAAGAATGGTCCATCAAAGAAGGAGGTACCTTTCTCTGAAGGGAGGAGAGAACTTCAATTTTGACTAAATAAGATTGGAGTTGGAGAACTCAAGTGGCTTCCATAGCTTTGGCAGCTCATGACAAAGCCTCGGGTGATTAGTGACACCATAAATAAGACTTTCACTTGTTATATCAACAATGGGAGTCACTGTGCACCTGGTCCCCATGTAGGACCTCTGTCCTTAATATGTTGTACTATGCAAATTAATGGTAAAACTACTACTCAAACAGTACTCTATACTTTGTGTGTCTGGGTGCAGTCTGTTGAAATCTTAGTACATACTAAGTTGATTTGTATATAGATAATTAAAAATGAATCTTTATGAATTTGGAATGGGAAAGGGACAAAGAGATGGGATGGTTTGTGGGTGGGAGGGTGATTATGGGGGCAAAAGCTGCTAGAATACCTAAGTTGTAATTTTGAAATTTATATTTATTAAATAAAATTTTTCTTTAAAAAATTGAAAAAGACCTAAATGCCCAACAGCTGAAGACTGGTTTATAGAGATTTTGGGGTATGTACTCCGGGATACTACACATTGTTAAAAAAAGTGAAATCTGGTCATTTGCAACAAAGTGGAGGAATCTGGGAAACTTCATACTGAGTGAAATTTGCCAGTTCCAAAAGGATAAATATCATATGTTCTCCCTTATTTGTTATAACTAACTGATCACCTAAAAAGGAACCTGTAGAAGTGAAATTGACACTATGAGAAGCAGTGACTTGATGAGCCCTTGTACTGACTGTTGAGGAACAGATACCCTTTTATCTTTTTACTTTTTTCTTTTTCTATGTAATACCACTGGTTAAACTCTTTACTTAACATAGAGTTATTCTTAGGTATTTAAATCCATTTTAAAAGTGATCCCTGTTAAAAAATAAGAATGGGAACCAAAGAGAGAGGAGAGGCACCATTTGACACACCTTCCCTCAGACTTACCCCTCAGGGTAAAGATAAAATATTGCCATGGGACTCCAAATCCCATTAAGTTGACAGTTACCAATGCCATATTACTAGTTAAAGTGATAATTTTAAGTGCATAACTGATCATAAAGATAGGATTAAGTGTCAAAGGGATCACATAAATAAGACCAAGTGTCTGCTAATAATAATTTCATAGAACTGAAAAGGAGAGAATGATCCAACATGGGAAGCAGGACACACAGCAGACTCATAGAATGACAAAAGCCCTAAACAGCACTCTGGCCTCAGAATCAGCCCTTAAGGCATTTGTATCTGGCTAAAAGCCAATGAGAGCATTTCAGGCATGGAAAGCCAAGATGCTGTTGAAAAGAATGGCTTCTTACCTGTTCCTTGAAAATCAAGACAAAGGCTATTTAAGTCATGGCTGCTCAAAGCATCAACTTCATTTCTACGGATTTCCTTTCAGGTGCTCTATTAGTTGTCATAGATCAGGTAGAACATATGGTATTGTCCCTTTAGGACTGGCTTATTTCAGAGTTACAGAGAGAGATAGAGACAGAGAGAGAAGTCTTCCATCAGCTGGTTTACTCCCCATGTGACTGCAATGGCCAGAGCTGCGCCAATCTGAAGCCAGGAGCCAGGAGTTTCCTACGGGTCTCCCATGCATGTAAGGGGCCCAAGGACTTGGGCACCTTCTACTGCTATCCCAGGCCATAGCATACAGCTGGATCAGAAGAGGAGCAGCCAGGTCTCGAACCGGAGCCCATATGGGATGCCGGTGCTTCAGTACAGGGTGTTAACCCACTGTTGCACAGTGCTGGCCCCTGAAATCTATTTTCTTCATATTAATAATTTTTTAAGAAAGAGAGAACTCTAAAATGAACTTCCATTAGGTTGCTTATTATTCATCAGAAATACAGGCAAGGAGAGACACAGTACAAGACCAGAAGAGAAACTTCCCAATCTATAATACTTTATTCAACAAAGTAATCTTTAATAAATAAAGGATAGTTAAAATATTTCTAAGACAAATCAACACTGAAGAAATTCATTACTAACTGTCCAGCCTTAAAAATAATAATTAAGGATAAATTACATACAGAATAAAGAAAGGTTACATCTGTCCTGACAGTGTTGGATACTATAAAACCTACCAGAAAAAGATCTAAGTATATTTGAAGCAAACAAAAGAAACTTTAAAGGAATAGGGCCAGAAAAAATCCTTAATTATCAATAATATCCTTAAATGTAAAAGAACTAAATCTTCAATTAAAATATACAGGTTCTCTGAATGAATTTTTGAATGACTTAACAACAAACCTCCCCCAAGAAAGTCTCTTTACAAGTAAATGCACACATACACTGAAAGTAAAGAAAAAGATGTTCCATGCAAACACAAACCAAAAGAAGTAGGAGTAGCTATGCTTGTATGAGGCAAAATAAACTTTAAGACAGAAACTGTAAATTAGAAAAAGAAGGTCACTATATGATGATCAAGGGAACAAGCCAACAAGATGTTGTTGTTGTAAATGTAAATGCAACTATGCCAGAGCACTTAGTTTAATGGAACAAATGTTATTGTTACTAAAGGGAGATGTAAGCTCTAATACATTGATATTGTTGGACTTTAATCCACACTTTGATCAATGGACAGATCATCCAGACAAAAAATCAACACAGAAACCACAGAACTTATACAAACTATTGACCAAATTGACCTAATAATATTTAAAGAATATTCTATTCTACAACTGCAGAACCCACATTCTTTTCATCAGCTTGTGCAACACTCCTTGAATAGACTATGGACTACAAAATGACTCTTAAGAATTTTTAACAAATCAAAATCATATCATGTATATTTTCTGACTGATAACCACTAGAATTGTAAATCAACACAAAAGAAGCTGAAGACACTAGGGCCTCAGAATGAGACCCTAAGGCATTTGGCTCTGACTAAAAAGCCCATGAGAGTTTTGCAGGCATGGAAAGCAAAGACACTGTGGCAAAAGGAAAATGGCCTAAATGAAAGATCTCTGTGAGTGAGATCCCAGCAGAAAGAACGGGCCATCAAAGAAGGAGGTACCTTTCTCTGAAGGGAGGAGAGAACTTCAATTTTGACTATGGCTCTGTCTAAATAAGATCGGAGCTGGTGAACTCAAGAGGCTTCCATAGCCTTGGTAGCTCATGACAAGGGCCTCGGGTGATTACTGAAGCCATAAATAAGAGTGTCAATTGTTTTTTTTTCTTTTTTTAACTTTTATTTAATGAATATAAATTTCCAAAGTACGATTTATGGATTACAATGGCATCCCCCCCATACCGTCCCTCCCACCCACAACCCTCCCCTTTCCCACTCCCTCTCCCCTTCCATTCACATCAAGATTCATTTTCGATTATCTTAATATACAGAAGATCAGCTTAGTATACATTAAGTAAGGATTTCAACAGTTTGCTCCCACACAGAAACATAAAGTGAAAAATAATAGATGATTTTTTTTAAATGATGATGAAATCAGATCAGACCTATTGTCATGTTTAATCCCAGTGAGAGTCAAGTTGGGAATTGATAATTTCTTTTTCTTTCTTTTTTTTTTTTTTACAGAAGATCAGTTTAGTGTGCATTAAGTAAAGATTTCAACAGTTTGCACCCCCATAGAAACACAAAGTGAAATATACTGTTTGAGTACTCGTTATAGCATTAAATCTCAATGCACAGCACATTAAGGACAGAGATCCTACATGAGGAGTAAGTGCACAGTGACTCCTGTTGTTGACTTTACCAATTGACACTCCTGTCTATGGCATCAGTAGTCTCCCTATGCTCCAGTCATGAGTTTCCAAGGCTATGGAAGCCCTCTGAGTTCTCCAACTCCTATCTTGTTTAAACAAGGTCATAGTAAAAGTGGAGGTTCTCTCCTCCCTTCAGAGAAAGGTACCTCCTTCTTTGAAGACCTGTTCTTTAAGAGTGTCAATTGTTAAATTGACAACGGAAGTCACTGTGCACCTCCTCCCCGTGTAGGACCTCTGTCCTTAAGGTGTTGTACTATGCAAATTAATGGTAAAACTATTCCTCAAACAGTACTGTATACTTTGTGTGCCTGTGTGGGTAAAGTCTGTTGAAATCTTTACTTAGTATATACTAAATTGTTCTTCTGTATATAAAGATAATTGAAAATAAATCTTGATGAAGAATGGGATGGGAGACGGAGTGGGAGATGGGATGGTTGCTGGTGGGAGGGAGGTTATGGGAGGAAAAGCCACTATAATTCAAAAGTTTTACTTTGGAAATTTGTATTTATTAAATAAAAGTTTTAAAAAAAAGAAGCTGAAGAAATTATACAACTAAATGGAATAGAAATGGCATGAATTAACCACGAACAATGTTTACTGGAGAAAGGAATAGGAAACTTAAACATTTCCTTGAAATTAATGAAAATAAAGCATATCATATGTTGAAAAGTTGATTCTGTTGCCAGCACTGTTGTGCAGTGGGATAAGCCACTGCCTGCAAAACCAGAAATTCACATGATTATCAGTTCAAGTCCAGGTACTCCACTTCCAATCCAACTCCCTGCTAATGCACTGGGCAAGTAGCAGAACATGTCCCAGTGCTTGGGCCCCTATCCTTAGGAAGACCAGTACAGTGGGGGAGGTACATCGATTAAGGTACACTGCTAGAATTTATGTTAGTACTTTATGGAAAGGAAAAGGAACCTCAAGTTAATGTTAAGTGACAATTAAGCAATTGAGTGCTAACTGATTCTTTGCTGTGTTCTTTCAACAGGAGGCTGGTGGAGTCTGCTCGGTGGCTAATTACCACCAATCATCTAGTTGAGGGCACCAAGGCACTTAGAAGGGTTGCACACATCAATGGAAAAAAGAGTGCTGGAGAGATCCTGACCCTTGAGGTGACTGGAAAGGGGAGCTAGTCACTGGGATAAAATGCCCTGAACTCACAATCACCCTAATCTGGGTTGTATTTTTTGGAGGACACAAAAGCACTCACTATAGCTTAATGGGCTAGGAAAGGATTATGAGTTAGCTGTTAAAAATGATAAAGAAAGGCATTGCAAACATCACAGGAACTGATTGGTAGCTGTGCAACTGATAAAACCCCATTCAACCACAAAGGAAAACAATGTCTCATAGAATAAAATATTGATCAAAGAAAACACAATGTTTCTGGCCTCTGAGTCTATGACTCCATTTCCCTTATATGATAAATAAATTGCCACTTGCCAAATGTCCAAGAAAAACTAATATCCTTATAGCTTATTTTCAAAGTCTATAATTATAACATTTAAATGATGCCCAAATGTGGATGAGACTACCTAAGTGTGTAGTTGTGTAACTACAGAATTTTTGTATTTTATTTGTGTTTTCTCTTACATGTTTATCACTTACTCTATACCTTCAGAAGGAGCTTGCTCAATACACAAATTTCTGCTAGAATCATTCAAGGCAATAGAATGGTTTTCAAAAATTTCATAGATATGCCTACCATAAAAAAACTAAGCATAGATTTCAAACTTCTTGCACCGACAAATTTATTAATTGCATTTTTTTGACAGGCAGAGTGGACAGTGAGACAGAGAGAGACAGAGAGAAAGGTCTTCCTTTGCCATTGGTTCACCCTCCAATGGCCGCTGCGGCTGGCGCACCACACTGATCTGAAGGCAGGAGCCAGGTGCTTCTGGTCTCCCATGCAGGTGCAGGGCCCAAGGACTTGGGCCATCCTCCACTGTACTCCCTGGCCACAGCAGAGAGCTGTCCTGGAAGAGGGGCAACCGGGACAGAATCCGGAGCCCCGACCAGGACTAGAACCCGGTGTGCCAGGGCCACAAGGCGGAGGATTAGCCTATTGAGCCATGGTGCCGGCCAATTGCATTTTCCACTTATGTTTTGAAGTTACTTCCTAAATGAATTCTCTATCATAATCCAGAAGAATCCTCCTAGCCTTCATGTATTTTCTAATTCCAAATCCATTTGCAAATTTTTAGCTATTTCTAGTAGCTCTACTCCACTCCCTGTGCCAACACTAGATAGAGTACTCTATTGCATGAATCAAATGACCTCAAAATATAGGGTCTTTAAAGAATCTAGGAAGGGTTTACCTTGGTCCGTTATTAACAGTCTCTCACAGTTTGCAATCAAGACAGCTGTTACAGCTATGATATTATCCAAGTCTTCACTGGGGAAGGATCTACTTGCTAGTTTACTCACATGGTTGTTGGAAGGGTGAAGTTCCTCTCAGATGGTTGAACTGAGGACTCCTTTATGGTCATATGGATCTCTCCAATATGGCAGTGCTTAGATAAAGTATGTAGCTGGAGAGGGAACCCAGTATGGCAGAAGTCACAGTCTTTTATAATCTACCCATAGATGTAGCAGACCATGATTCTTGCTCTATTCTGTTTATTAGAAGCGAACGTCTCTTGAGAAGAGAGGATTACACAGAAGTATAAATACCAGAAAGTAGTATAGAAGTGGTGATTCAAAGCTGCCCACCCCATTTTCACGTGATAGAAAATCTCCTTGTCTGATTTTACAATATGTAAACCTTGTGATATTTTTCGAGAGAGAGAGAGAGTGAGTGAGCGAGAGTGAGCGAGCCAGAAATAGCCCACGGAGAGCTTTTATCTGTTTTTACGTTCTCCAAATGCCTGCAAGAGCCTGGGCTGGGATGACCATGAAACTAGGAGTCCACAAAGCAATCCAGGTCTACTAAGTGTGCTTCAGGAACCCAATTACGTTATCAATCAACACTGACCCTCTGGGATCTGCATTAACAGAAAGCTGAATACAGGAGAATGATCCAGTGCTAGGAATCATACCCAGGTACACTGATGTGGGACACAGGCATCTTAACCATTACTGTAAACATCTATTCCAACCTTGTTATCAGAGTCTACTCTTTTGCATTGATGGTCCCTTGCTATAGCCATCCAGTGCTAACGTCCTATTAGTTATTATTTTTCTTGAAATTTTCAAAAAATCCTAGGTCATACATATGCCAGTATATCTACTGCACCACTAATCCATCCTGTTCATCATAGTGAAATTTTTAATAGTTGAATCACAATAGCATACTCCAGTGAGCACCAGATTTGGAATATTCATTGAACCATCTAGTTCTAAATTCTCATTGTGGTACCTATAATCTAGTATCATTTTACAAGACAATAATTGCATTCTTCTGATTTTATATACCTTTCATGATGGCATATGATTCTTTGGTTAAATTTTAGAAACCCCCATGGAATAGAAGTGCTAATTTCATTTTTTAACTTTATGCATAACCGCACATATCATTGGGGTACCATAAGAAGTTTAAATACATTATACATTATATATTGCTGAAATCACCATGAGCTTATCTATTTCCTCAAATTTTTATCATTAATTTGTAATATGGACATAAAAATTCTTCACCTTTGCCTTTATCTTTTTGGGGGGAATACATGAGGGAACTTCCAAAATTTGATGGAAAATGGAATTTAAGTAAGGTTATTTGAGTACAAAATATTTCAAATTCATTCATATCAAAGGTCTTCAAAAAGCTCATAGAAAAATGTGTATTGTGAAAAAAAACTATGCATGGATTTCCAAATGTTTTTTGCATCAAATAATTTATCTTTACTTTTTCCACAAGGTGTTTGAAGCACCTTTATGTAATGTATTATCGTTATCGATAATCCCAACTGTACAACAGAACAACAAAACTTATTTCTCCTATGTAAGTTTAATTTAGTGCCAGTGGACCCACTTTTTCTGACATAGTAAGTCACATTTTTAGTTCAGGGATAAATTCTAAGCTGATTTTTGAAGCCTTTTGGCATTCATAAAGTTTGCCATGCTTAAGCCCAGTTCACAGTGTATCAACATTTCCCTTGCTTTTTTTTTTTACTGCCTTTAACTCTGCCTTCCATTCATGATGGGAGGCTTCCTGTCTATCATTCTTAGACAAGTATTTCTTGGAACCAAATGATGAAGAGGATATAGTTTTCAGAAAAAGGCCACTCATTGCGTTGCTTTTTGTGTATTTTGCAGAATCAACTTGCTATTAATGCATGCATTCATAATCGTGATCTTGATTCTATTCCATGGCCTATAAGTCCATCTTATGCCATTTTACTTTAGCTTTGTATTATCTCATGAAATCAGAAATTGTGATGCCTTAAGCTTTGTTCCTTGTTTCTCGAAATTGCTTGGCTATTCCAGAACTTTTCTGCTTCCATATGAACTCTAGCATTGTTGTTGTTGTTCTCCAGAGAACACCATGGAATTTTGGTGGGAATTGTTTTAAAGCTGTAATCACATTAGGTATTATGGATTTATTTTTGACAGGCAGAGTTAGGCAGTGAGAGAGAGAGACAGAGAGAAAGGTTTTCCTTCCGGTAGTTCACTCCACAAATGGCCACTATGGCCGGCGCACTGCACCATTCTGAAGCCAGGAGCTGTGTGCTTCCTCCTGGTCTCCCATGCAGGTGCAGGGCCCAAGCCCCTGGGCCATCCTCCACAGCAGAGAGCTGGACTGGAAGAGGAGCAACTGGGACAGAACCGGCATCCCAACTGGGACTAGAACCCGGAGTACCGGCACTGCAGGCAGAGGATTAGCCTAGTGAGTTGCGGTGCCGGCCATTATGGATATTTTGATAACAGGAGTATTAATTCTTCACGTCCATGAATATGAGAAGTCCCACTTAATTTGTCTTCTTCAATTTCTTTTATCAATGTTTCATCATATTCAATGTGAAAAATCTTTCAAATCCTTGGTTAAATTTCTTTCAGGATACTTTTCATAGTATTACTGAATTGGACTTCTTTTATGATTTTTTTACATCAGCTTTGTAAAATTGCTGTTGATTTATGTTAATTTTATGTCCTATAACTTTATTGTATTTGTGTATCAGTTCTAATAGGATTTTGGTGGACTCTTTAGATTTTAATATACAGAATCATGTCATCAACAAACAGGGAAAACTTAACTCCATTTTTCCTGTTTGTATAGTTTTGTATTTCTTTCAGTTAGCTAGTTGCTCTGGCTAAAGTTCTCTTAATTTGAACAAGGGAAGGACCGGTCCCCATGCTTAATGAAAAGAACAGAAACCTTGAACAATGAAACTATTACTTTTTATGGTATTCCTTTGGTAATATAAATAATTTTTCAATGTTTTTGTACCTCAGGAGTTCAATATTTCACTGGCTTTATTCCTATGAAATTCATCTGAGTTCCATTTCTCACTATACCTTTTGGAACTCTCCACACAAGAGATTGGACACTGAATGCTCTCTCACACACACCCCCTAGATAGAAGAGTCGTGAGTACAGTGAATTCTGGGTCTATCTCATCTTCCAGGACTCACCACTACACTCATTGACATCTATCTCATAAACACTTGTTGTTTTTGTTGTCAAAGTTTGTGAGGTCCACCATGCAGGAGGAGATGGACAAAGCCTCAACCAAACCATCCGTGGTTGAGGTGTTCCAGGCACCCAAACTGCGTATGAGGGTTTTCTACTTGAACTTCCTGAGGTGAGTTACACTGGGTGATGGTCATGAAGAATTCCTTATGTTGTTCTGTGTCCATTTTCATTAGGTTGTCAATTTTTTTGGTTCTTTATTAAAAATATATTCCAAACATAATACTTAGAAATATATTCTAAATGTGTTATATCAGACAGGAAATTCAGGAATGTGTTTTCATTAAATTTTATCTTTTTATCTAATTTTTTTTAACTTTTATTTAATAAATATAAATTTCCAAATTACAGCTTTTGGATTACAGTGGCTCCCCCACCATAACTTACCTCCCACCCGCAACCCTCCCATCTCCTTCTCCCTCTCCCCTTCCATTCACATCAAGATTCATTTTAAATTATCTTTATATACAGAAGATCAATTCAGTATATATTAAGTAAAGATTTCAACAGTTTTCACTCACACAGAAACAGAAAGTGTTAAGTACTGTTAGAGTACTAGTTATAGCATTAATTCACATTCTATAATGTATTAAGGACAGAGATCCTAGAGGGGGAGTAAGTGCACAGTGATTCCTGTTGTTAACAATTGACACTCTAAATCTCCCTTTAAGTCCCTTAACATATCTTTTAAATAAACCAGTGCCCTGTAATTAGGTGCATATAGGTTTACAACATTTACATCTTCCTGTTGAATTGACCCCTTAATCTTTATATAGTGCCCCTCTTTGTCTCATTAAAAGTTTTTGTGTTAAAGTTTATTTAGTCTGATATTAATATGGATACACTAGCTTTTTTTTGGTTTCTATTGGAAGGGAATATATTTTTCCAAGCTTTCTCTTTCATTCTGCATACATCTGTGTTGGAAAGATGTGTTTCTTGTAAGCAGCAAATAGATGGGTTTTGTTCCTTAATCCATTCAGCCAGTCTGTGTCTTTTAACTGGAGAGTTGAGGCCATTAATGTTCAATGTGACTATGAATTTGTTTTTGATAACTTCTAGATGTTCTTATCATAATTTTTTGAAATCCATATCTTGCATTTCTTCTATCTCATCATCTTCCTAATCTTAAATTGGGGTGTCATGTTCATTTGGGGGTGTCTTAATGTCTTCCTTGTTCTTGTTTCCTCAGTTTCTGCATTTGTTGCTTGGCATTGTGGAGATATTCTTTGGTTTCTTCTTTTATTTTTCCTCGCTGTGGTGGTTTTTCTCAGTATACTATGACCCTAGATTAAGTGAACTGCCTGCTTTTGATGGATTCTTAGAGGCTTGTGATGGGTGTGGCCAGAGAGCTCTGTTCGGTTTTTCAGGTTTAAGGGTGTGCCAGGCCAGTGCTGTGGCTCAACAGGCTAATCCTCCGCCTGCTGTGCCGGCACCCCGGTTCTAGTCCTGGTCGGGGCTCCAGTTCTGTCCCGGTCGCTCCTTTTCCAGTCCAGCTCTCTTTTGTGGCCTGGGAATGCAGTGGAGGATGGCCCAAGTCCTTAGGCCCTACACACATGTGGGAGACCAGGAGGAAGCACCTGGCTCTTGGCTTCGGATCAGTGCGGTGCACCGGCCACAGCGGCCTATGGGGGGTGAACCAATGGTTAAGGAAGACCTTTCTCTCTGTCTCTCCCCCTTCTCTCTCACTGTCCACTCTTTCTGTCCAAAAAAAAAAAGAAGAAGAAAAAGGTGTGCTAAAGGTGACATACCCAGGTTAGGCATGGTAAATCTCTCTCTCTCTCTCTCTCTCTCTCTCTCTCTCTCTCTCCCCCCTCTCTTTTTTTCAAAAGGGAAGTAATTCTGCACAGCTGAGCAGAATTGAAGGTAGTCAGCGTCTGAGCTCTGGTTCCTGTCGGTATAATATTCGTCTGCTCTGTCCCAAGGACCACACAAAGCATCTGTTCAGTCCTCAGTGTGAGCTCAAATTCCCCTGCAATCTCCCACCAGGTTGCCAAGGATACTGAGATTGTGGCGTCTCTGGAGAGTACTCACATCTCGGGTACTCCGTGAGTCCTCTCACACACTCTTTTTTTTTTTTTTCTCACAGTCTTAGTTTATCATCTCCACACATTCACTAGTTCCTAACCTCCTGTTATTTCTCCCCACCAGAGTCAGGTTTTTCTGCTTGGCTGATGGCAGGGGCAGCTTTTATGTATGTCCAAAAAGGTGCTTGCTCTTTGTCCTGCTCACCTTTGTAAAGTGAGTGGAGAGAGAGAATTATGTCTGTACTGGTCCTATTTATTCATTTTTTTTAATTTATTTTTGTTTTGACAGGCAGAGTGGACAGTGAGAGAGAGAGACAGAGAGAAAGGTCTTCCTTTGCCGTTGGTTCACCCTCCAATGGCCGCCGCGGCCGGCGCACTGCGGCCGGTGCACCGCACTGATCCGATGGCAGGAGCCAGGAGCCAGGTGCTTTTCCTGGTCTCCCATGGGGTGCAGGGCCCAAGCACCTGGGCCATCCTCCACTGCACTCCCTGGCCACAGCAGAGAGCTGGCCTGGAAGAGGGGAAACTGGGACAGAATCCGGCGCCCCAACTGGGACTAGAACCCGGTGTGCCGGCGCCGCTAGGTGGAGGATTAGCCTAGTGAGCCGCGGCGCCGGCCCTGTACTGGTCCTATTTATTTATTTATTTATTTATTCTCTCCTCTAGTTAGCCTGGTGAATTTTCCCCCACGGGGCTTCAAGCTTCGTTCCCTCTAAGCTCTCCCTTCCGCTTTCTCACCCGTGTCTCAGGCTACTGAGGTTTTGCCTCACCTCCCTTTCCAGCGCTGGTGTGTTGATTCAGTGGCTGGGGTCCTGAGCTGTGGGTGCCCGTGCCCTCCACGTAGGTCCACCATGTCCCACTAGTTCTGGAAGTGTTTCCTCTGCTGTTTTTCCCCTAACTCTTCCCTGAACCTACAGTATCTCCCCTTTTATTAAGCTGTCTTTTCCCGGACTATCAGTGTGCTCCCTCCCTATTTCACCATCTTGGACTGAGAATATGAGACCAGCACTGGAAAGGGAGAAGAGGCAAAACTACAGTAGCCTGAGACACTGGCAGAAAAGTGGCAGGAAGAGTATAGAGGGAACGAGGCTTGAAGCTCCATGGGGGAAAGTACACCAGCCTAACCAGAGGAGAGAAAACAAAACGAAAGGGACCAGCATGGACATGATTCTCTCTCTCCACCCACCTTACAAAGGCAGGGAAGACAATAGAGCAGGTGCCAATTTGGAAAACCTAACAGCTGTGCCAGTTCAGGACTGCACCTGCCCTCAGCCAAGCATGAAAACCTGACTCTGGTGGGGAGAAATAACAGATTAAGACCTAGTGAATCTGTGGAGGTTATGAACTGGGAATGTGGGGAAAAAAACTGAGAGTGTGTGGAAGAACTCACGGTGTGGTTGAGACATGAGTAGTCTTGATGGGAGACCCCACAAATTCGGGCAGCCTTGGCTACCCGATGAGAATACTGCAGGGGAATCTGAGCTTACACTGAGGGCTGCACAGAACCTTTGTGTGGTCCTTGAGACAGAGCAGATGAATATTATACCCACTGGGGCTAGTGATCAGGCACTGCATGCCATCAAGAAGAGCTCAGCTGAGCAGAATTACTTCCCTTGTAAATAAAAAAAAGAGAGAGAAAAAGAGAGATTTACCACGCCAAACCTGGGGGTGTCACCGTGGGCACACCCTTAACTCTGAGGAACTGAACAGAGCTCTCTGGCCACACCCACCAAAAGCCTCTAGAGATTCACTAAAAACAGACAGTCTACTTAATCTAGAGTCATAGTATAATGAGAAAAGCAACTACAGCAAGAAAAAAAGAAGAAACTAAAGAATATCTCCACAATGCCAAACAACAAACGCAGAAACAGAGGAAACAAGAAAAAAGAAGACATTATAATGCCCCCAGATGAATATGACACTCCAATACAAGATTATGAAGATGATGAGATAGAAGAAATGCAAGATATGGATTTCAAAAAATTTATGATCGGAACATTTAGAAGTTCTCTAAAACAAATTCATGAATTACAGAAATCAATACAGGGCAAGACAGAAAATCTCTCTCATGAAAATGAAATCTTAAGGAGGAATGAAAATGAAATGAAGAATTTAGTAGAAGATGAAATTGTGATATTGAAGAGCAATCAAAATGAAATGAAGAATTCAATGGAACAAATGAAAAACACATTTGAGGGCCTTAAAAACAGAATCAGTGAGACAGAAGAGAGAATATCAGACTTAGAAGACAGAGCACAGGAAAGCATACAATCAAACCAAAGACAAGCAGAGGAAATTAGAAATCTAAAAAATATTGTTGGGAATCTACAGGATACTATTAAAAAACCCAACATCCAGGTTCTAAAAGTTCCTGAAGCCATGGAGAGAGAGAAAGGATTAAAAGGCCTTCTTAGTGAAATACTAGCAGAGAACTTCCAGGGTTTGGAAAGGAAAGAGACATCCAAGTACAGGAAGCACATAGAACCCCCAATAAACATGACCAAAAGAGATCCTCACCACGACACGTGGTAATCAAACTCACCACAGTGAAACATAAAGAAAATATCCCCAAATGTGTAAGAGAGAAACATCCAGATTCCTCCATTTTGTTGCAAATGACCAGATTTCATTGTTTTTCACTGCTGTATAGTATTCTATAGAGAGCATATCCAATAATTTCTTTATGCAGTCTACTGTTGATGGGCATTTAGATTGATTCCAGGCCTTAGCTATTGTGAATTGAGCTGCAATAAACATTAAGGTGCACACCGCTTTTTTGTTTGCCAATTTAATTTCCTTTGGGTAAATTCCAAGGAGTGGGATGGCTGGTTGTATGGCAGGGTTATGGTAAGGTTTCTGAGGAATCTCCAGACGGACTTCCATAGTGTCTTTACCAGTTTGCATTCCCACCAACCGTGGGTATAGTTCTAAGAAGATAACCATATTCCCTCTCTCCTGAACTCCCTCCATCAATTCCCTTTCTCCTTCCTATTTTTCTTACTGCAAAAACATAATTCAGTCCACTCAATAGTCACAGGCTTAATCCATCACTAATAATATTCAACAAGTAAAGAGTAGGAAGACCACA